AAGTTAATTGCATAATAGTAGCTTTGTTATGTCGGTTCTAAAGTTCATGGAATCTTTTTATTAAACAAGTAAATTAAAACTATAATTAAATTTGAAATCTGTTTGAAGCTTGGTTTTTATCCTAAGCCGATCAGTGACAGTGAATGCAATGATAAAGGTGGTTTGATTCAAGAGTAGGTTAGGAAAAAAGAAAAAAAGTATTATTAAGGATTATGTAGTCTATAGGATATTAGAAGGAACTGGAAATTAACTTTATATATAATCTGTGTATAAAAATATAAAGCCAAGAAAAATGTTGAGAATAAAGAATTTCTGATGAAAAAAAAAAACTTGCTTAAAAAAAAAATATTCAGGTAAAACAGTTCCAAACGTCAGATATATTAATATTTATTGTATCAAAAAATACAATTTTGGCACATAGCCTGAAATGGCGAGGGGTCGAGGCTGGTTGACACTAACTATCTTATACCTAGCTAATCTGATTCACGACTCATTCACTCATTACAATTTCCACATTCACCATAAAAACTCGCCCGTCACAACTCAATCCTCCATACACCATAATACCGCATCCTCTCAAGGGGGGGGGGGCTACAAAACGCACCGCATGCCATAAAAATTTTAATAATAATAAATAATACATAAAAATCTAATCATGAAAAATGAGAGGGGAGGGAGATGAACCCAATAAAAAACTAAAAATCAACACAAAGCAAACTAATTATAACTGATGTTAGTAGGGCCCGTCCAACCCTCAAAACAGAGAGGCCGCTGTATTCTGCCCATGGGACAAAATCAAGAGACACTCTCGCTAAGGGAATGTGAAAAGGATAGAAAAATCTGACCCAGACGAGATAAAAAGGGGCCAAAACAAACTGGGGAGGTTGGGAATCAAACGTCAGATATATTTTGAAGAGTTATCCTTATTTACACTATTGTCCTCATCTAGTGTCCTCATCTTTGTTGTTGTTATCAAAACGTTTCCAACTTTGTGTCTTCCAGCCTGCATCAAGTTATATCGATCTGGGTAATCTACAGGGAATTCCAAACTGGGTACTTTATTTAATCTACGGAGGTAGATTGTTCTCGTTCCAATGCCTATGTATAAGGATATCTTACTTCCCACTTAATTCAAGTACACACTCGTCCAGGGATTGAACTCACACTATTTATGGCACCAATTTCACGACCAAACACTTCTATCCACTAGGTCCTTGACCCATAGCACAATTCTCTGTGAATTAATTTGAAGCCTTAAAATTCACCTTCCTGCTGATGAGTACTGCTGAGAGAGGAGATGTAGATTGAACTTTGTTAAACATTGTTAATTTTTTTTTTAAATACGCTCTTCCCTTTTCAACACAAAAAAGCAATCAAAGCTGATCACAGAGGCAAAGACCTTAAAACGTAGAGATGTCTTCTTATTGACATGGCAGTTCATCATGTAGACTGTAATGTGCTTTTAAAACTATCAAAATGCAAGGAAGTTAAGTGGAAATCTAACAAAAATGTGGCATATGAAAACATCAATAATACCAGTTGTATTTGATTTGAAATAGGTCTGATAGGCTCTTTGAAGCAATGCCTGGTATCCAATGCGATAAAGCAATATAAAAAAATTGCTCCCACAAGCACAGCTCACACCTTAGGAAGTGATTCATCTATGTCAAATCTGTGTTCTTATGTTGTTTTATTTTTATTTTCAATTATTTTTAATGTTCAGTGGGAAATAACAGTATGCCTTTCTCAGAGGTATCTGGTTGGGACACGGGATGAAATCAGTATACAGTAGAAATAAACGCAAATAATAATAATAATAATAATAATAATATAGGACTTTAAAATACACAGAGACAGAACAATGCAATCTAGTCCCTCAGACATTGTCATCAAAGACGAGAAAGCATAATGTGCTTTCTTATTGAAATGGCAGTCCCTGCAGATTATAATGTAAATTTGAAGAGCCTGAAAAAATCTATCAAAATAAAATGATCTTGAAGTGGAAATCTAAAAAGAACGTGACAACATCAGTAATTTTCAATTGTAGTAGGAGAACTCGGATTGATTGGAAATGATTCCGATAGAATCATTGAAGAGATTACTCGGAACCCAAGACTTAAAGGAATACAAAAAATTGCACATACAAGTACAGTTCACACATTACGTTTGTTTTTATCTAAGTAAAATATGTGTGATCGTACTTTTTTTTACAAAACTGTCTTGTAGAAAATGTCGTGAAGCCATTTCTAATCTTAGGTCTCTGGTTGGGACCCGTAGGCAGATGCGTATACAACAGAAATCCAAAGAAAAAAATAATAATGGCAGGCTTCGTTCTCATAATTTCTAATCTAAACTGGTCTTAGTGAATTAAGGTATTCTAAAATAAATACCTTTTCAGTATCATAGATTTGCTCGTCAGTCGACTGACCTTAACTAGTTGTGCATATCCCCTATGAAGTGACGACCTATGAATATCAGTTCATTGGCGTAAGAGCATTATGGCCGTGTGTCGATAGATTTCTTTTTTTTAAGTTTAATGAATCAGTGAGCCAAGGCAACTGGAGAGTCATATGTGGAACTTCTTAGGAACATCGTCCATTGCAAACCGTCCAAGCGGACTGGTTTAACTGACCGGATGGTGTTTCTTACTGACGCCTACCTGCAATGTCAAGCGCTGTTTTTATCAAAACCTATCAGCATATCACGTATATTTAAGTGTGATGCATGTGCGCAGTATACAGTTATTGGATTTATTCTCATGATGTTTATATTGGGCTTTGTATATTTGTACACCAGCGTCACATTCATGTTGTGCTTCTTTCTCGGCAATCAAAATATTTGTTTATGTTTTACAAAAGTTTACAGATTTCAAAAGAAGAACCACGAGAAACATTGTAAAAACATGAATAAGCTTAAACATAGAAAAAATGTCTATTCAAGCAAAAATAAAATTGACATATTTTCCAAAGCCATGGGGAGAAATTTTGATAAATATTTATCGTTTGCAAAACATGAATAATGACTTTTTATTTTTGTATCGAAAAAGCCTATTTAGATCGGTGAATATTGCATTGCATCTTTCCCTATTAGTGGGCGTGTGCGGGCGTGTGCGTTCATATATGCGTTTGTCTTTGTGTGTGTGTGATCTTTGAGTTTTTTTTAAATTACGAGAGGGTCAGAAAAGTCCTCGGCCCCATCCATTTTATCAGATTTGGATAAGTTTTTTTTTTTTTCCAATCGAGAAATGTTCAGCACACACTCGAATTAATACAACGCTATTTGAAGGCGAAAAAAACAAAGAAAAAAGGACATTAATGCCTCCTTCTTACTTTCTTTACCCTTTTACCCTTATTGGTTTATAGAGATATTTACTGCTGACGTCACTTACATCATGAGGATATTTTAACGGGTTGTTTTTTTTTTCTGCTGTCACCACAACCCGTAATATAAACAGAAAAATAGCAACGTTATTTATTATTGTTGTATTTTTGTCGTTATTTTTTCTAGCATTTAACACATATTTTGAGCGTCTTTCCTTCGCTTCCATGTCAGTTATCAGCTGACACTTTATGTTTCCTTAGAAATTATTCGCTGCAATTACGTGGATCTGTAAAATCACTTAAACAGAAGTCAAATATATGCATATGGAATGATGTAAATATATATATATATATATATATATATATATATATATATATATATATATATATATATTGAACAATGAAAAAAAATATTAAAAATTAAAATCCCCAGACACACTGGGTTGTAGATTAATATTCTTTCGTGTTTTTTTTTATTATTATTTTATTTAGATTCCTCGACTAGTTTCGACCCAAAATGGCCATCATCGGGAGGAGAAACATTTCTGCATGCTGGTAGCAGTAAACTGCAGAAATTTATGTCTTGATGGAGAAAATGAACTTTTGTCTGTAGGTTTCATTTGTTTTTTTTTTAATTTTTTTATCTTTTTAACATGAATCTTCTAATATTCCTTGTGTTGGTTAAACAGTCTCTTTTAAGTTGTTATTTGAGATAAGAGCTGAATGGATCTATATATATATATATATATATACATATATATATATATATATATATATGTTATGAAATATTTTAATTAAATAGTATTAATTACATTTACCGGCAGGAATTTTCGAGAAATTTCGTAGAAAATATGTGCTTCTTCGACAGTAATCGAATATGTAACCCTTAGTGGGGACCGTCATTTGACCTGACCTGCTGGACTGTCGGTTCCTAAAAAACTGAGCTGCTTGACCCGCATAAGTCGAATACCTATATATATATATATATATATATATATATATATATATATATATATATATATATCGTTTCATGTACCCAATAAAAGAAGAAAAAAGCTAGAATAATATCATACCGATAATTTCAGCGATGATGATAAAGATAAAAATTAACACGTTTATAACCGTTTCACTTAAACAATAAAATTATAACAAGATTTATAATATATCTGTCTGTATCTCTGAGATGAGGTATTATGATTGCTTACTTTATTTATATTATTCAGATTGTTATCCCCATCTTCATTATCATATTCACAACCTTCAGCCGTTGTACGCATCGGCCTTCTTTCGGTAACTGGAATTTCGAACCGATGTCTTCTAAAAGCTCAGCAAAGTACCAAGAAACAGGGACATTTCCTTAGAAACAAGAAAAATGAACTGTTAAGAAAAAAAAAAAGAATAATGAACTGTTAAGTAATATTATATAACAATAAAAACCTTCACTCCTTGAAAACACTTTCTATCTAACATTTCCACGTTCGGGTCAGTCAATCAAAATCCACATCTTTATTTTGTCTACTATCTGAATTTAAGGTCAGCCTCAGAAGGTTTTAGTCAAATACAGTGCCACTAAAGAATAATAGCCTGAAACTATTATTGAACAAAAGCTACAAAGAGCAGAAAGTTGTGGGGAACTGTGATAGCCCACGTTTTCCAGGGACTCGGCACACAGAAGAACTATTAGAAGAAGAAATATGAAAAATATTGAAACACTGAAGAAGAAGAAGAAGATGAAGAAGAAGAAGATGAAGAAGAAGAAAGAAGACGAAGAAGAAAGAAGACGACGACGACGACGACGACGACGAAGAAGAAGAAGAAGAAGAAGAAGAAGAAGAAGAAGAAGAAGAAGAAGAAGAAATTTTGAAGGGATGTGCGTGTCTCTGGCTTCTCTTTAACTAGTCCTGGGTGTATCTATCTTCTTCACTTGCTGTGTGCATATATCCAATTTTTAACATGGTTTACTTATAACTGTGCAGCGTTAAACATCAGTTTGAGATCTAGTTCCACACAGTGTGGCTATGAGGTAACTTCTGTTAACCCTCTTAAGACACCGAGATCTTTTGATAATCTAATAATTACCGAGCAAAAAAAATATTTCGCTATATCTTAAGGTTAGCGCATTGCATATTTCTGCCACCACAGATCAATTTCTCTTAGATTGATATTAAAATAGATTCAGAAATCGGTTATTCCCTGGCATAAATCCGATTCTGCAAGTGGAATTAGGATTCATTCAGCCTAATTTTTTATTCATTTTTGTTTTTCTATCAAATGGATTAGCCGCTGAACTTGCATATTTTTGTGAGTTATGTCTTTTTGAATCGCAGCCCTTAAGAAATGAGTTTCCCTTCTATATCACTTCCTCCATCTGTGACATTATCCTACCTTGTTTCATTCTTTGAAGTCTTAACTTTCCAGTTGACTTGAGGAATTTCCCCAGCAGTCATGAATCCTGAGTTATCTCCACAGTTAAAAGACGAAAAAATATATTGAAAGAAAGAATTTCTAGGAATGGCATGAAAGTATGTTCGTTTGAAGAACTAACTACCCCGTAATATGCTTTGAGAAAAATCGGAAAATCAAAATCGTAGGAAATATTAAAAATAAATGTATACATGATTATCATGTATAGAAAATAATGACGCGCCGCAATATTTATTGAATTCAAAATATGGTTACAGGAAGCAATATAAATGCTCTGCTGAAGTTATTTGCTCAGCCAATCAGAGAGTTCTGTAATATATAGGAGGTATAATCAAGAAATAATAAATATGACGTTATAAAGACATGACCCCTAGGATGAGTGGGCTGGGGAGATTCCCAATTTAACAGGAAGATCATGGGTTCTACCATTCGTCCACGCTTAGAATATTGCTGCCACATATGGCATATCGCTATTTACCTGGAGCTCCTTCATTAAAATCTAAAGAAGAATTGGCAATATTATTAGTCCTGATCCGGCGTCACTTTCCCACCGCCGTAAGGTTGCCTTTCTGTGCCTTTTCTATCAATACTTTCATGGTAATTGTTCGAATGAGTTCTTCGCTATAGTACCCAGACATTTTGAATTTAAGCGCAGTTCTAGACCGGCGTCGAGATGTCATCAATTTACATCTGGCTAGATGTAACTGTAACTTCTGGGCTGACAGTTTCTTTTCTCGCACTTCTATCTTGTGGAAATCTATTTCGGCTTCATGCTTTTAAACTAACTTCAATCTGCAAAAAAATTAAATGTAATGTCAATCGCTATCTCTCTTCCCGCTCATCATTAAGGTTTTTGTTCCTAATTCTTACACACTCTGTAACACCTTGAGCCTAAATGGCTGTTCTGCGCTGCATGGAGGGATACCGATAAAAAAATGTCACAGTGGATTACTGGAACTGAAAGAGAAGGAAAAGAATTTAGAAAAAAACTGCAGGCCAAATCCTAAGCAGGAAACAAAGATAAGCAAGTATACTCGTTCAAAGGACTGAGAAGTGCCTAGTTAAAGTAGACTTTATCAGGAACCGGAAATCCAATCTCTTATGGGGTCCTCCCTTTTTTCATATAAGTAGACTCGATCAGAGTGCTACTTGAACTGCTGCCGTTAAATATCCAGAGACTGTCAGTGACAGTGAGTTGAGATAGTAAGAAGACTGAGATTGTGATTGAGTTGGAGGTAGAGTAATAGTGTGAGGTAACCTCTTGTAGAAGTCAGTTACCAGCACGTAGACTCTAAGGAAGTCCTACTTCGAGACTGTATATCTCTATATGTTATTGCTACTAACCGCGTTCTTGTATTATTGTGTACATACATTTTATTTCTTATATTTAATTCTTACGTTTGTCATTCATTGGAGACTGAATTTCATCTCGGAATCCACAACACAATCCTAAGCATTAAACAGGGAATACATTTAGTCATTTCCAAAAGTAATATAAAAAACCATTCCGTAAGAGGTAGATCTTAATTTTAATGTCTCATCGGATATATTCATATTTTACAGGGAAACAATCATGGCTTATTAGAAATCCTATCAGAATTAAATCTGAGGCCACAATCTTAAGAATATAAGTTGATGACACAGTGTTGATAGAATCCACTGAAAGGAAAATACAGAAACTCAAAAGGAATGAAGCAAAGGAAGCAAAGAAGAAACTATCTGACAATATTTCTGAGATGAGGTATTTATGTACATTATTTACATTATTCGGACTATTGTCCCCATCTTTGTCGCCATATTTATTACAACGATTCGGCATTTCAGTATCTGTCTATATTTCTGAGATGAGGTATTATGTACATTATTTACATTATTCGGACTATTGTCCCCATCTTTGTCGCCATATTTATTACAACGTTTCGGCATTTCAGTATCTGTCTATATTTCTGAGATGAGGTATTATGTACATTATTTACATTATTCGGACTATTGTCCCCATCTTTGTCGCCATATTTATTACAACGTTTCGGCCTTTCAGTATCTGTCTATATTTATGAGATGAGGTATTATGTACACTATTTACATTATTCAGATTATTGTCCTCATCTTTGTCGCTATATTTATTACAAAGTTTCGGCCTTTCAGTATCAATCTATATTTCTGAGATGAGGTATTATGTACATTATTTACATTATTCGGACTATTGTCCTCATCTTTGTCGCCATATTTATTACAACGTTTCGGCATTTCAGTATCTGTCTATATTTCTGAGATGAGGTATTATGTACACTATTTACATTATTCGGACTATTGTCCTCATCTTTGTCGCCATATTTATTACAACGTTTCGGCATTTCAGTATCTGTCTATATTTCTGAGATGAGGTATTATGTACATTATTTACATTATTCGGACTATTGTCCCCATCTTTGTCGCCATATTTATTACAACGTTTCGGCATTTCAGTATCTGTCTATATTTCTGAGATGAGGTATTATGTACACTATTTACATTATTCTGACTATTGTCCTCATTTTGTCGCCATATTTATTACAACGTTTCGGACTTTTAGTATCTGTCTATATTTCTGTGATGAGGTATTATGTACATTATTTACATTATTCGGACTATTGTCCCCATCTTTGTCGCCATATTTATTACAACGTTTCGGCCTTTCAGTATCTGTCTATATTTCTGAGATGAGGTATTATGTACATTATTTACATTATTCGGACTATTGTCCCCATCTTTGTCGCCATATTTATTACAACGTTTCGGCCTTTCAGTATCTGTCTATATTTCTGAGATGAGGTATTATGTACATTATTTACATTATTCGGACTATTGTCCCCATCTTTGTCGCCATATTTATTACAACGTTTCGGCCTTTCAGTATCTGTCTATATTTCTGAGATGAGGTATTATGTACATTATTTACATTATTCGGACTATTGTCCCCATCTTTGTCGCCATATTTATTACAACGTTTCGGCCTTTCAGTATCTGTCGATATTTCTGAGATGAGGTATTATGTACATTATTTACATTATTCGGACTATTGTCCCCATCTTTGTCGCCATATTTATTACAACGTTTCAGCCTTTCAGTATCTGTCTATATTTCTGAGATGAGGTATTATGTACATTATTTACATTATTCGGACTATTGTCCCCATCTTTGTCGCCATATTTATTACAACGTTTCGGCCTTTCAGTATCTGTCTATATTTCTGAGATGAGGTATTATGTACATTATTTACATTATTCGGACTATTGTCCCCATCTTTGTCGCTATATTTATTACAACGTTTCGGCCTTTCAGTATCTGTCTATATTTCTGAGATGAGGTATTATGTACATTATTTACATTATTCGGACTATTGTCCCCATCTTTGTCGCCATATTTATTACAACGTTTCTGCCTTTCAGTATCTGTCTATATTTCTGAGATGAGGTATTATGTACATTATTTACATTATTCGGACAATTGTCCCCATCTTTGTCGCCATATTTATTACATTGTTTCGGCCTTTCAGTATCTGTCGATATTTCTGAGATGAGGTATTATGTACATTATTTACAGTATTCGGACTATTGTCCCCATATTTGTCGCCATATTTATTACAACGTTTCGGCATTTCAGTATCTGTCTATATTTCTGAGATGAGGTATTATGTACATTATTTACATTATTCGGACTATTGTCCCCATCTTTGTCGCCATATTTATTACAACGTTTCGGCCTTTCAGTATCTGTCTATATTTCTGAGATGAGGTATTATGTACATTATTTACATTATTCGGACTATTGTCCCCATCTTTGTCGCCATATTTATTACAACGTTTCGGCCTTTCAGTATCTGTCTATATTTCTGAGATGAGGTATTATGTACATTATTTACATTATTAGGACTATTTTCCCCATCTTTGTAGGCTTTTTTTTTACAACGTTTCGGCCTTTCAGTATCTGTCTATATTTCTGAGATGAGGTATTATGTACATTATTTTACATTATTCTGACTATTGTCCCCATCTTTGTCGCCATATTTATTACAACGTTTCGGCCTTTCAGTATCTGTCTATATTTCTGAGATGAGGTATTATGTACATTATTTACATTATTCGGACTATTGTCCCCATCTTTGTCGCCATATTTATTACAACGTTTCGGCCTTTTCAGTATCTGTCTATATTTCTGAGATGAGGTATTATGTACATTATTTACATTATTCGGACTATTGTCCCCATCTTTGTCGCCATATTTATTACAACGTTTGGCCTTTCAGTATCTGTCTATATTTCTGAGATGAGGTATTATGTACATTATTTACATTATTCGGACTATTGTCCCCATCTTTGTCGCCATATTTATTACAACGTTTCGGCCTTTCAGTATCTGTCTATATTTCTGAGATGAGGTATTATGTACATTATTTACATTATTCGGACTATTGTCCCCATCTTTGTCGCCATATTTATTACAACGTT